TAGACTTTCTATAACTTTTAAAGACTCCTCGATATGGGAGTGTGAATTAAATTGGCTTGAATAAATTAATGCAATTTTGTGGTTTTTGTCTAAAATAAATGTTGTTCTACCTGGTAAAATAAATGCGGTTTTACCAACACCATATAATTTAGCCAATTTACCTCCTTTATCTGAAAGTAATGTGAATGGTAAACTGTATTTAGATGTAAACTTGTGATGGCTTTTAGTATCATCTTGGCTAACACCAATAACATCTGCGCCAGCTTCTATAAACTTTTGATATTTATCTCTGAATTCACAAGCTTCTTTTGTGCATACTGGGCTATCATCTGTTTTGTGTAAAAAAAAAAAAATATTAATATAAAATTATTTTTATTTTTAAAAAAAATTAAATAAAATCTATTACATACCTTTTGGATAAAAATATAATACAATTGGTTTACCTTCAAATTGACTTAATGATATATCTTTACCATCTTGGTTTGGAAAAGTAAATTCTGGTGCTTGGTCTCCAATATTTAATTTTGTCATTTTATTTATATATATATTTATATTTATATTTATTTATTTATTTATTTGATTTGATTTGATTTATTTGATTTAATTGATTTAAAAAAATAAAAAATTTTGTTTTTATATTCATAAATTTTTTATTATTTTTTATAAGGATAAACATAAATAGTTTCCATGAATTATAAATAAATTCTAAAATTCTTTATTACATTCTTTCGGGTGGACACATTTTTTAATAGATGGTGGTTCTTTATTAAAATTAAATGAATTGATATCATCATGAAATAATAAAAAAATTCAATTAAATTTTTATTTTAAAAAAAAAAAATTAATTTTTTTTTTTTAAATTTCGATTTTTTTTTTTTTTTTTAACGGTTTTTCCTTTTGAATAAATTAATATGATCATTTTAATATTTAAAAGGATTTATGATGCAGTGGATTTGATTTCTTTCGACACATATTAACAAAAAAATTATGAAAAAAAAAAAAAAAAAAAAAAATAGAAAATAATGGTGTTATGATTCTGGTATTAATATTTACAAAATTTATTTATTTACATTTATTTATTCTATATTTTATATTTTATATTTTATATTTTATATTTTATATTTTATATTTTATATTTTAAATAATTTATTATAATTTTTAATAAATTCTATATTTTTTTTTATATTTGAACGTGTTACAATTTTAGTTGATAGCATTATATTTTGGTTTTGTTTTTTTGGGATATCTCTTGACTTTAAAACTTTTTTTCTAATAATTATATCTTTGGAGGATTTGTTGGAGGTGCCATATAAAACTTTATTTAAATTGCAAAGTTGAATTCTATTTCTTTTTTGTAAATGACTTGATCTTCTAGTAATAATTCTAACCATTTTTTTATTTATAATTTTTGATATATATAATATTTAATATTTATTTAGTTTTTGTTTAATAATGAATTAATTTGTAAAAAATTGATTAATTTATATAGCAAAAATATACACATTTTCCATTTTTAAAAAATTAAATTTTTCTAATAAATTTTTAAATTGTCATAAAAAAAGTTTTTTGGGAAATTAAGTTTTATTTATCAGTTTAAGCAATGGATCTTAATATGGTTTGAAATAAATTTAGAATTTTTTTGAAAAGTTTATTTAAATTAATGAGTTGTTTATTTTTTTAAATTACACTTATTTTTTTTATTTTACCGGTTTTTTTTTTTTTTTTTGTTTTATTTCAAATTTTTATTTTTTTTATTTTAAAAATTTTTTTTATTTTTTTTTTATTTTATTATTTTAATAACTAAATAAAATGAAAAAGAAAATTAAAATAGAATATGAAAATGAAGAAAATGATGGAAATGAAGAGAACAATGAAAACAATGAAATAAATATTAAAAAGGATAAAGATATTAAAAAAATTATTATAAATGATGATGAAGAGAAAATTAAAGCTTGTCAACATCAATTATCATATCACAAATTTAAAACAAACGAAATTAAAGAAATTAGAAAGTTAATGCTAGAATGGTACGAAAAAAGTAAAAGAGATTTACCATGGAGGGTTCATGAAGGTGTCGATGAAAATGTCAAGGCATATAGGATCTGGGTCAGCGAAATTATGTTGCAACAAACTAGAGTGATTACAGTAATAGATTATTTTAATAGATGGATTAAAAAGTGGCCAACCATTAAAGATTTGGCAAATTCAACGATCGAGGAGGTTAATCAGGTAATTAATTATCATTACTTTGTTTTAAAATTAAATTATAAATTACATATATTAATAATATTGTATCCTCAAATTTACATAATTACTTTTAGTTATGGTCGGGATTGGGTTATTATAGAAGAGCTAAGAATTTATATTTGGGTTCAAAATATGTAATTGAAAATTTTAAAGGAATTATACCAAAAGAGGTTAAAAAGTTGTTAGAGATCCCCGGTATTGGAGCTTATACTGCAGGTGCTATATCGTCAATTGCATTTGGTATGCAGGAGCCATTGGTTGATGGAAATGTAATAAGAGTATTCAGCAGACTAAGATCTATTGGTGCAAATCCCAAAAACAGTAAAACAGTAAAACTATTTTGGTCAATCGGTTCAGATATTGTTGATCCTCAAAATCCTGGTGAGTTTAATCAATCACTAATGGAGTTAGGCGCTACAGTATGCTCAGTTCAATCACCACAGTGCAAACAATGTCCAGTTCAAACATTATGTCAAGCTTATAAAGAAGAAAAATCATTTATTAAACCAAAACCAAAAAATTCAATTTCAAACTTTTTCCAACCAAAAACAGAAAACAATAGTAGCGGTAGCGATAGTATTAACAACAGTAGCGATAATAGTATTAAAAAAGAAATTCCATTAAAAGATATATGCACAGTTTGCGAAAGTTTTGATGACACTGATGGTCCAACCGAGTCAGTTTGTAAATATCCCAAAAAAGTTTTAAAAATCAAACCCAGAAGTGAAACTGTCAATGTATTTTTAATTCATCACTATCAAGCAGACAAATTTTTATTGGTACAAAGACCAGATACAGGTTTATTAGCATCATTATTCGAAGCTCCATCAATTATTGTCAAAAATGAAACTGAAGAGGACGAAGATGAAGCTGACGAAGATGAGGACGAAGAGGAGGATAAAAAGAAAAAATCAAAAAAAAGAAAACAAATTTCAAAATCAAATAGTGACACAGCAGCCATAACAAATGATTATATTCAAAAGGAAGTTTTAAATAATTTATTTTTAAAAAAAACTTCAAAAAACAACACAATTATAAATTTAAAATCATTCAAAAGCATAGGTACTGTAATTCACAAATTCTCTCACATTACCCAGACTCTAAATGTCTTCGATTGCAAGTGCGAATTTGATATCAATAATTTACCAAAATCAACAATACCATCAAAAAATATTCAATGGATTGAATTAAGTAGTATTAGTTCATTACATGGAATGGCAAAACAAATGTCAAAGTGTTTTGACTTATTAAAATAAATAAATGGGCAAATAAAGAAATAAATGGAAAAAAAAGATTATGAAATTTCATAATCATTAATCACTATTTATTTTTTTTATTTTTTTTTTAATTATTTTTTTTAATTATTTTTTTTAATTTTTTTCAAATTTTTTCCATTTTTTTTTTTTTTTTTTTTTAAATTTTTTTTCATTTTTATAATTTTTTTTTTTTTTAATATAGAACAATACTCTTAATATAGTTCAATATTATCTTTATAAAGATAAACAAAAATAAATCAATATTTTTTTAACTCAATAACTTAGAGATTAAATAAAAATAAATACTCAGTACTCTTCAATATATATATAAAAATGAATTTATTAAAAAACTTAACAACTCAAATATCAAAAATTAGTTCATCAATGTTTTCAAATACATTTAAACAAAGAGCAGTTACACCAAACACAGCAGACCTTGCAAAAGATAGATTAAAATTTATGATGAAGAATAAAAATAATGAATTTGTTTCACCATCAAATAATACTTCAGCCATGCCATCTTCAAATATATTCCAAAATGATATGAGTTCAAAAGAGCAACATAGTCTAGAGTTTGACAAACACAACAACAACAACAACAACAACAACAACAACAACAATAATAATAATAACAATAATAATATACATATTAATAAAACAATATTAGAAAAACAACCAGAACAACCACAACAAAAAATAATAGAGTTAATTAATATAAAAGGAATTGGCCCAGTAACTCTTAATTATTTAAAATCAAAAGGAATTTTAACTGCTAATGATTTATCTGTAATTTCAGATTCCCAGTGCGAAGATTTAAGACCAAAAGTTAAACAAATTTTTAATATAAGAAAAGAAGCTCAAGTAATTTTAAATAAATAATTTTAGATGTAAAATAAATGAATATATATTTTTTAAAAAACCTATTGGTTACATTTATTAATGTAATATTTCTTGTATTTAAATATTCAATTTTTTAAACAGATAAACATTGTGTATAGAAATTATAAAAAAAACAAAATATATTTCAAACTTTAATATTTTAAATGAAACTTATATTTATTTTATAATAGAATTAAAAATACTTTATCGTTAAAAATATTCAGAAAATTAAAATATATTCCTTTTGATATTTTTAATATGAAGATTCCAACAAAAAATAATAAATAAATTTATAATAAAATGGACATAGATACTTGAATCTATTTTATCAGTATTTTTTTTTAAAACTTTTAATAGCTGAAATATCTTATTTATTTTACTTTTAATTAATTCTTTTTGGTAGAATTTTGTATAACCATAAAAATGTGAATAAATTATAATAAAATACACTCTGCCCAACAAAGGCATGAGGTGACTAGCTTGGGAAATTTTATTTTCTTTTAAATAAAAAAAAGGTAATACGGTACTATGACAACAAAATTTCATCAGTTGCTCTATTAACTCAGTCGGTTAGAGTGAAGTACTTATAGAATAGTATGATATGCTTTGGTCCCGAGTTCGATTCTCGGATGGAGCAAGTATTTTTATTAGGATTAATCTTCCAGGTGATAATATATCACCCTAAAAGGATCACTTAGGGAGTTCGAATACCAGTGTATATAAGGTACTAAGATCAAATAATTAAATAAAAAATATATATATATATATTACATAAGGTACTAAGATCGGGGAGCAATGATTACCAAGTGGTCGAACGAATGCTTATGTTTTTGTAAAATTCGAAAACTAAAAAGTTTTTTTAAAAATTTATCTTCACTTTTAAAAAAAAAAAAAAAAAAATAATGAATGTGTTTAAAATACATTCAACAAATAAATTCAAACCATATCCTAGCCATTAAATCTAAAATATCAACCTTTTACAAATTACCAGAAACCACTTTGATCAATTTCCCAATCACCTACCTATAACAATACAAAACCTCACACATACCATTTAAAATTTTTATTTAATTAAGACCTCTTACACTAATAATATAAATTATTTCATTGATTTTTAAAAAAAAAAAAAAAAAAAAAAATCCATTACATTATTTTTTTTTCAAAGTATAAATAAAATTAAAAATTAAAAATGTAATGTATTCATATGCATTTAAAAATTAAATATATTACAGTTTTAATTATATCTCAACTATAAAAAGGTTTTCGAATTTTATAAAACATAAACAATTTCATATAAATTTTATTTTTATTTAATAATTTGATCTTGGTACCTTACAAAAAAAAGAACACATGGGTTCTATTTATTGCGTTATCCAAAAAAATTTTAATGAAAAGTAACTTATTCTTCTTTTTTTTTTTTTTTTTTTGTTTTTTATCAATTCTTGTTGTGCACCTCTCACTTTCTAAAATTTTTATTTAATAATAGAAATTTTTTTTTTTTTAGGTAATTAGCATCTATTTGATAAAAAGTGTCTTCATTTCTATGATTTTTCACAAAAACTAAATTTTTTTTTTCATATACCCCGACTACAGCTAAGGAATGAACAATAGGGGTTTTTGTGAATAGTTGAGATTAAATTTTTCCAACTCTTCTGTTCCTGAAAGTTCTAGATCAAGAATCACACCATGAGCCTCTTTTATATTTTTATTTAATTTTTTTCATTATTTTCCAAAATATTTATTTATTATAAATCTAAGCACTTATTATTAATAAAAAATTTTTAAAAAAAATTTTCCCTGGTTTTTCAAATAATCCTATTGAAGGTGAGTTTCAAGAGGATCAAATTATTCACTCGATTTCTGCTGCCATCAATCTGAAACTTTTGATTCTATTGGTTCTTTAAATCAGCTAATATCAAATGGTTATGAAATTCAAATAAGTCAAACAGAATATGCAGAGGTTGGTATTTTTAAAGATTAAGGACTTTTTATTAACTAAAAATTTTTATATTCCAATTAAGGTTACTTTTAATTTTTGAAAATGCTATAGGATACACTAATTCAGTAGAACATATAAAAAGCCCGGCTAGCTTTTTTTTTTTTTTTTGCTTTTTAAAAATATATTGGAATGTTTATTCCTTTTTATTATTTTATTAATTATAAGACCTAAGTATCTGAATTGACCAGATATTACTTGAAGCAAAATTAAACCGTTGCAATTTGGTTGAATAAATTGAATTATTCTGAGGTAACTTAATTTATTATTGCAAGAATAATAAATTTCCGGAGATCCAACTTTCTTTTAAGGTGGTGTTACTTCATAAAAGATGCCCGCATCTTAGCTAATAGAATATGAATTAAACATTACAGCCCTTGGCAGTTTAGCATAGCATAAGTTTCATCTTGTACGGAGAACCTTGGGTTAGTGTTTCCTTGCAAAGGAAACCTTCTATCCAGTTAAATAGCACGTATACAGCTCGGTATAACTTTAGTGCATTGGCGTAGAGTCTTGTTAATCCTTTCGGTTGACTATGGATATGTACAGATGCCATATATATCTTTTATTTAGAATAAAATGATATTGTTTTAAAAAAAAAAAGAAAAAAGAAAAATGAAAAATAAAAAAAAAAAAAAAGAAAAATAAGTGGTAATAAATAAATGTGAACATTCGTTTTCGAATGAATCATTTATTGGTGGTAAATAAAGTGGTAGGTTTAATTTTTGGTTAGATAATAGTGGTAGGGTATGATGAATTTAAGGTATAATTTCATCATCTAGTTTAATGGTAAAAATGTTAGTAACATTGCATTAAAATCAACATTAAGTGGTATACTATTTGGTTGTAAGCCAAATGGTTCTGGAATTGTGAATTTTGGTTCTAATATTCCTTTTTCAATGTTGATTTTAATAATGTTTTGTTTGGATGATTTTTTAGGAAAATATTTCTTGTCAAATCATATGTGAATGTTGTAGTAGTATTATCTTTGGTTCTGTTTACCTTAGATGCACCAGTGTAGTTTTAGATTATACTGGTTATGTTGTGATGTGGTGTAGTTTTTGTTTCAAAAAAAAGGATTTATTCATTATTATCAATAATATTTTTTAAAAATTTTTTTTGAAAATTTGTGTTTAATTTATATGATGATTTTGGATGGTAATTTTTGTTTTAATAGTTCTGGTTTTTTAGTATGTTAAAAGTGTTATTTAGGTGACCAGACTTATTAAATTTTGGAATACATTTTAGGTATTCTGGATAAGTATTTTAAAGAGTATTTAGTGAATAAAATGGATTTTGAGCAGAATGTTGATTATTTTGTAGTGGAATAATGCAATCATTAGTATCCAAGTTGTCATCACCATTATTTTGATTATTATTTTTTTAAAATTTGTTTGTGAATGAATAAATAAAAGAGATACACCGATCAACTAGTGAGATCTCAATTAGATTTCGTCTACTTAAAAAAGTTTTAAAAAATCAAAGAAAATTTTGGATTTATTTAAAACAGTTAATGAAAGTGTATGTGGTGATATATGTAGATTATATAAAAATCAACAAAAGTGTGTAAAAATAAAATGAATTGTATAAAAAGTGGTAAATACCAATAAAAAAATGAATGATGTTGTAATTAGTGGTAATTAATTATAGTTAAAGACATGGTAATAATAACTATAATAAAAAAGTGTTGATACACCAGTAGTATGTAAATTTTGTGTATAAAAGCCCGGCTAGCTCAGTCGGTAGAGCGCAAGACTCTTAATCTTGTGGTCGGGGGTTCGAGCCCCCCGTTGGGCGAATTTTTTTAATTTATCCATCTTCTAGGTGATATATGGTTGTTAACCCCTTTTTGGGTGAGTTTGGATCTATGTATATTGTTTATAATCATCGAGAAAATATCAAGTTGATTAATGTTGTTGTTGACGAGTTCTTCAAAACTTGTTATTTTTTATTGTAGATGCATAATCATTTCCAGGGTTTTGATTGCTGAAAGCAGCTATTTCGGAGTATAGCATTTTTTAGTGGATTGTTATTGTTTTTGATTGGATTGGAGGTTAATCCAGTTGTTTGTATAAGATTGATAAAGGATTGAATCGGGTTTTTGATTAAAGATTGAGATTTTAACTGTATCCAGCTCTGTGAGATTAAGAGATTGGAGTGTGTTTATCTTTGAAAGATCTATCGAACGGTAGTAAGATGAGTTTATAAAACCGATATTATAAAAAGTTATTTTTTATATGATCTTGTTCACCCTTTCCATAACTTTTATTGATCTTTTCGTTGAATTCGATACCAATTTCGAGCGACAAATATATGAATATTGCTTTTTGATGGATGGTCTGTTCCCTGAATAGAACCATACTATCCCTGAGTATTCTAATGAGGTTGTCGTATCCTTTACCCTCATCGTTAACACCAGATTTGGCTTTCTCTAGTTTGCTTGTAACAACTTCACGACGTTCGACTTTGTCGTCCTTTCTTCTAATGATCTTACACATTTCTGACCATTCTGGCTCAGTATCCTCTCTTTCCATTCTTGCCCTATAATCCTCTAAACCTTTTAAGATCTTTACCCATTTGCTTTCTCTGTAAAAAACCTTATTGATCATTTGATCTAACTTATCAGCACCCTTCGTGATATTGACATCACGGAAGATAAACTCTGAACGGTTTATAAAGCCTCCGACTGATTCTTTGAGCTCCATCTTGAGTTCATTCACGTTCTCAGTACTCAAAGTTGACTTTTTTTTGATAATTTGTTCAACTTTTGGTTCAAACTTTGGAACTGACTGGCACTTCAATCTAAGATCCTCTACCATTTCTTTAAGAAGTTTTACCTTCCCAACTTCGCCATTAAACAAGTTATTTTGTTCCTCCCTAAGAGCTAATGAATTGTTGAGTTTGCTAGATATGTCCTTGATTTCTACGTTAAGTCTTTTATTTTCCTCCACCAATTTAATGATGTACTGTTCTGCAGCGACAAGTTTAGCGGCAATGTCATTTTCGACTTTTACTGAGTCTACGTTTTCTTCTTTAACAGAATACATTTTCTATCTAAATAATTTCCTTGTAATTCTCTGCTAACTTTACTTTTACTGGGCCCCAGTATTGTAAGTTATCTTGAAAAAAAAAGTGTAATGTAAATGAACTTTTAAAGTATAAATAAATAATTAATAAACAATAAAAATAAAGATAATAAATTATATGATTTTTAAGTTTGTGTGAAAATTAAATAAAACGAAAAATTAGAAAATTTTTTATTTTTTTTTTTTATTTTTTATTTTTTTATTTTTTTATTTTTTTAAATTAAATTATTTTTAATTATTAAAATTATTAATTATTATAATTGTTTGATTAAATGACTATTTAAGTTATAATTAATTAATTAAGTGAATTTTGATGATAATACATTACAATTACTCAATAATAATCACGAACAATTATTAATGATAAGAATATTGCTGGGTCTACCACTGTGCCTTAATACAAATCAAAGAGAAAAAATGCAATGCTTTTCCTCAAAAGTTAACATAGATAAATCTACTTCAATCATTATAGGAGACTGTGGCACCCATTCATCACCAATACCTATTGCCAACACACCTCAACGATACCTAGGCCACTATTTTGATAGCCAAGGTATAGTACGTAAATTACCCAAAATCCTCAAAAGCATCCGCGCATCCCTTGTATTATGGAAATCAACAGGCGCAACAATCAAAACGAAAATCAACATACTTAAGTCATTTGCACTATCCAAATTAATATATTGAAGATTTTAATGACCAGAAATGAAAGAAATTGGTAAACTTGTTATTAAAACAACCTAACGTTAAAAGCTCAGGTGGTTTCTCAATTGGAGGAAAAAATACAGTACCCCTAATGTCAAACCAAAGACCACTCTTTCCAATGGAAAAAGGAGGTTGGAACCTCTGGGATATTAAAAAAAGACAAATTGCTCAAAAAATTTGGTTATTCAATAGATTTCTAGTTTATAAAATACCGTCTCTTACACTAATAATATAAAATAAAATTTTTTGCACCACAAAATAAAAAAAATTAAAAAAAAAAGAAAAAAACCAATAGAAAATAAAAAAAAGAAAAAGGTTAACTTTTTTAAATATGTAATAAATTTTTAATCTTTATTAATTAATGTAAAATCTATATTTTATTATATAACTAACTCTTTATGAAATATAAAAATAAAATCTGAATTGATAATAATTAAATTGAACTAAATATACTTTTTTACTGATTGTTATTTGTTAATTTAATTATTATAATTGATGTTGAAATAATGTATGATATGAAAATACCAATGTAGTCATTTGATGGTCGGACAAGAAATAAACTTTCACCTTTTGACTGAATGAGTTCTTCAACAGATATTAACGGTCTACTAGTACAGGTGATAGAGTGGAGCTATTGATTAAGCATTGTACTTGATATTCTTCATTAGCTGATACCCGATAATGACTACTTTATCTAAAAGGTTTTGGCGTTATACCAAAGTTGCTTGGCCAGAACAAAGTTGGTATGTTCAAAAATCTATTAGATTGAATAGTATTATAATTTAAAAACTATGGATTGATTAATATACTAGAAATATTTGTGGTTCTATAAATTGTTTTTTAGGGATTGATTTTTAATTTTTGAATAGGCGATTGTAATTTGCTTTATATTGATGATTTTATGATTGGTTTCATTAAAGTAAGGTGGTGTTGATGATGAATTGAAGATCTTTTAAAAGAAAAATGAGATGATGGTTTATTTTGATGGATACCCTGGTGCACTTTGTATTGAATTGATTGAACGAAAACCCCAATTGATTAGAGACTTTAAAAAAAAACCTATTGATAATGAAATAAAGAATTTGATATAAACTAAATAAATATTAAAATTAAACATTAGTTTCATTTATATTCAAATATAATTATAATTATGCTAATGTTATCATTATATTTACCTTTAACTTTTGATTTCGTATTAATTTTAGAACTTTTAGAATTTCCTTGTCATTTCCTGAGCTTTATTCTGAAGGGATGAGTTATATGATGCATTGTTTGCCACTAGTAGTTGATAATGATATGATTATTTAATGGATTCCTTTTTGGGTGGTGCAGTTAACTATTTTAAATTTCATCGATTTAATCGATATCCATATAATCACCGGATTCTTCGGAATCTGATCCACCAATTGAATTGTTATTATTTGTTAAAAATTCATTTGGGACCATATTGATCTAGATGAGAATCGTAAACGTAATCGTAATCGTATTCATTAAAATCTAATCCAGAAGATGAATTATTATTGTGGTCAGAATGGGAATGGGAATCTGGTTCATATTCATAATCATAATTGGAATCATTATCAGAGTCATTATCGGAATCATCATCAGAATTGTTACTTTTATTTAATGATTCCATTCTAACTTCATATATTGATTGTGCGGCTTGACCCTCTCTCTGCGATTAAATAAAGAAATAAATTAATATATTTTTTATTTATATTATAAATATAAATGTATGAAATACTTACTTGAATATGATTAAATTCTACTCTGCATAATGGACAAGTATTATTTTGTATGCACCATTTTCTGATGCAATCATAGCAAAACATATGAAAACAATCTATAAAGGAGGCATTAGTGGTATTTATTTTGATGTAAAAAATACAACACTCGGAGTTATTTTCTTTTTCTAAACGCTCCTTTTCTAATTTTTCATTCTCTAATCTTTGCTTTTCTAAGATTTCTTTTTGAATACGCTCTTGTTCGATTTTTTCATTTTCAATACGTATTTTCTCTAATCTTTCTTTATCAATACGCTCTCTCTCTAGTTTTTCCAATTTTTCTTTTTCCAATTTTTCCTTTTCAATACGCTCTTCTTCTGCTTTATTTGATGAACTCTCACATTTATAACGAGATTGTTCCTTGTTAAATGATGGATACTTTGATGATTGTTCGTTATTTGGTGGAGTATTTACTGATTTTGGTTCGATAGCGGTAGAATAACGTGATTGTTCTTTATTAAAGGTTGGGTAATTATTATTTTGTCCCCTTGAAGGTGTAAATGTTTGTTGTGGACAATGAAGTGGAAAATTGGCTGATGGAGAACTATTTGCAGTAGTATAACGTGATTGTTCTCTATTGAGGGATGGATAGCTAGACTGTGCACTTGAATATTGTTGTGGTTGGGGTTGTGAGTGTTGTTGGGGTTGATTGCTTGATGTGACATTACCAGCAGCTGAATATTGTTAATAGGTTTTATTAAATGATGGGTAATTATTATGTTGTGCCCTTGATGATTGAAAATGTTGTTGTTGTTGTTGTTGTTGTTGTTGTTGTTGTTGTTGTTGTTGTTGTTGCTGTTTTTGGAGTTCTTGTCTTCTATGGAGCTCTCTTTGTTTGGCTAACTCCTCTTGCTTTCTTAAATTCTCTTGTTCTCTTAAGAAAGCTTGTTCCTTTTGTCTTTTCAAAATTTTTTCTTGCTTCTTTTGATTTTGTTGATTGTTTAATGATTCAGAAACATTATAATAGATTGGTGTTGAGGATTGTGGAATAGAACTGTGATTGCTATAGTTATTGGTGAAGCAATGATAGTTGTGATTGTTTGGGTAGGTGGTGGTGTTGGAGCTGGTGTTGGAGCTGGTGCTGAATCTGGTGTCGGAGTTGGTGTTGGTGCTGGTGTTGGAGCTGGTGCTGGATCTGGTGTTGGAGCTGGTGCTGGATCTGGTGCTGGAGCCGGTGCTGGATCTGGTGTTGGAGCTGGAGCTGGGGCCGGTGTTGGATCTGGTGTTGGAGCCGGTGTTGGAGCTTGTGCTGGAGCCGGTGTTAGAGCCAGTGTTGGAGCTGGTGCTGGATCTGGTGTTGGAGCTAGTGCTGGAGCCGGTGTTGGAGCTAGTGCTGGAGCTGGAGCCGGTGCTGGAGCTGGTTTTGTTTTTTAAATGTGTATAAATAAAACTAAGTGAAACACCAATGATAAAAGCGTAAAAAACTAATAAATAATTCATTGTTGATAAAAATGAATTGTGATTGAAAGGGTGATTTTGAATATTTTTTGGGAGTTGTAAATTATTAATCAAATATAAATAATTGCAGTTATTATAATATTATTGTATGGGTATTATAAAAAATAAAAAATAAACCTATATAATTTTTATATGTTGATAAAATAATAAAGAAAAAATAATAAAGAAAAAAAAAAAAAAAAAAAAAAAAAAAAAATTTCTTTAAAAAATTAAAAAAAATTAAAATTAAAATATTAAAATATTAAAATTATGATTATAAAAAATCAGGAACTTCATGAGAATGAAAAAAAAAACTTTAATTATTTTAACCTATAGAAAAATTAATATAGTTTTTAATTTTTTATCATTGCCATTATTGTAATTTATATTTATTTCTTTTATTAATAGAAAATGATGTAATTTAATTTGTAAATACAATGTATCTTTTATTTTTTTATCATTATTATTATTGATAATTTATATTATTATTTTAAAACAAAACATGAAAATATATGTGTGAATATTATTAATTTGGGAGGTATTGTTTTAAATTTGTATATTTAAAAATGCAACAATGATTATATAAAATAAAATAAAATTATTAAATAAAAAACATACCTTTTATATATATTATTATGATAGTGAGAATGGTACAGCAGATAGGGTAAATATTTTAAAATATCCGATGAAGAACTAAAAAATTTTAAAAAATTATTTCTTAAACCATATTACCAGAGCTTGAAAGGATGGTCGATCTAATTATGTTTTTAAATGCTATGGGGATTTTCATCTGTGTATATCCAAGTTTTAAGAATCAACCAATTGATTTTACTGTGTAAAAATTTAGTGGGGTTAAATCCATTCAAGTATAAAACAATAAAAAAATACTGATGACTTTATATCATAACAAGTAAAGAATTTTTATTTAATATAAAAAGAGTTAAGGTTATATTTTTATATAGTTTTATTTTTTTTTATTATTATTATAATTTATCATTTATTACACAAACATAATAAATAATTAATAGTAATTATATTTTATTTTAAAAAATTTATATAATGTAAATTACCATTATTTTTTAACAGAGGGTTTAAGTATTGATGGTAGAGGAAAATGAATTAAGACAAAAAAAGGTATTTTGATTACATAGATACTGAGTTGGGCCCACTCTACCAAATTTTCAATGTGGTGGTTAATTATGTATGCTGTGTGGTAGATTACATAACTAACCACAAATTTTCAATATGGTGGTTAATTATTTATACTGCCTTAGTGTTTAAATAATTAACCATTCGGCTTTAATATACTAACCTCCCCGTGGTAGAGCTGGAAACACTCTTTACAAAGAGTGGCTAATAGTATAAAAAAATATAAAAAAAGTTGAAAAAGAGATAATTTTTTTTTTGGAATATAATTATTTTACCTTATATTCCAAAAAAAACGTTGCAACGATAATTTTCGAATTTTAGTTTTTCGAAAAAAAAAAAAATTTTATATTTAATCTTTTATTTTTGGGAAAAGTCTTGTGTTTGGAAGATTATAAAAAAAAAAAATTTTTGATTTCTAAAAAAAAAAAAAACAATGAAATAATCTTTATTTTTCAAGAGAAATCAGTTTTTTTTTTTATTTGAATTCAATTTTTTATTTTATTATTTTAAATTTAAAAAAAATATAAATAGAAGATTTGTTCTGTCTTAAAAAATAATCATACAATCAAACAATCAAATAAATTTGAAAAAATAAATTTTAAAATTTAAAATGAAATTCATCCTTGCTTTATTATTTGCCTTTTTAGCTTTTGCTAAAGCCGACTATATTTTCAATTCACTATCAAGTGATAGTTGTTCCTTTAGTGTTGATACTGATCAATGTAAAATTGCCCCATGTTTACCTGGTGCTGTAGTCAAGGTTACCAATGAAGGTTCAACAGGTACTCAATTATATTTTGGTCCAGATTGTTCTTCTTTCCCAGTTATACTTCCACTTGTATGTGATGCTAATGTTACATTAACACAAAATCATGTAAATTACTTTTATAAATTTGAATGTAATCCAAATACTGTTTCTTCAAGCGATGAAAACTCTTACAACGAAGGTAGCTCTGCCGCCAGTGTTTATGTTAGCTTCACCATTTTATTGTTAGGTTTATTAGCTGCTTTATTGTAAAATTTACAAAAAAATTAGCATAACTAAAAAATGGATTTAAATATAATTTTAAAAAAAAAAAATAAAAGCCATTTATTGTTATCCTATTTCAATTTTTTTTTTTTGGTGATTAAAAATTATTGTTAGCTTAAGTTTTTACCACTTATCGTTAGCGCATTAATTTTAAAATTTTTGGAAATAATAGTTTCTTTTAAAAAAAACTATCTCATTTTATATAAAATTTTTTTCATTTTTATTCATTTTATAAAATTTAACAATACCTTTCTTATAATTTTTTTTTTACAATTGCCTTATAAAACAATTTTCGAATTAGCATGCGTAAGTATACCTTAACTGATGTGTCTTTGTATTTCGCTTATAAAAAATATATTTGTTTCTCCATTTTAAAAAAAAAAAATTTTCATTACCATTTTTATTATTTTCGTGACTCTTTGAAAGTAAAAATTTTTTTTTAATTTTTTTTTCTTTTTTAATCAGTATAAGTATAAAACACATACCAAAGCAAAAACAAAACACAATAAAAATACTGATTATATAATGTATCATTTTTTTGAAAGTAAACTGATAAACATGAATGAACTTTTTAGTGTGGCGAGATATTTTTATGGACAATTTTACAAGTAGCTCAATAAAGCATACATGAATGAACTTTTTAGTATGAATGAACTTTTTAGTATGAGTGAGATATTTTTATATGGACAATTTTGCAAGTAGCTCATTAAGAATCATCTTCACTTTTAAAAAAAAAAAAAAAATACACACACCATTTAAATACATTACATTTAATAGGGTTTAAATATCTTTTTAAAAAATGATGTTGTGCAGATGGATAGATATTGATATCATATATTTTTTTAGTACAAAACTGCCTCTTTTTAAAAATAAAAAAGGAAAAAATATTAATTAAAAAAATGATTTAAATTTTTATTTAGTTTTTAAGACATGGATATTGAATCTAAAGCTTTTTTCTTCATTACTTTACTTTTATAAACAAAGAAACTTGCAACAGCAACAGATGTCCCACCAGCCACAGATAAAGAAATGATTACTGCTAATTTCCATTTTGAACTTGAGCCACATTCAGTTTTTTCTTCGATTCTAAAGAAACTAGAAAATGATGGATCCAAAATTACTTTAGATTGGAAGAATGGTGAATTCATTGAGGTTAATACATGATATTCATTGCTTTTACTTGAAGTTACATTTGTGAAATCATTATATAAAGGATCAGCTTGGTCAAGAGTTGAAATTTCTGTTTTTGAATATTTTGAATCATCAATAATCATTCTAGAAGAGAATTTTGCGGATAAATATCCGTTACCAGTATTGATTTGGAATTGGTTGGTACCAACTTCAGTGGTAGAAACAATTTCTTCACAATTGAATACAGAAACTTTGTTTGTTTTTGAATGGTAAATAGTTTGAAGGGTATTAAATTTAGTTGCAAAACTCCATTGTGAAACTGAAACTTGATATTTAATAGAGTTCTCTGGCATTGTTAATTTCTCACCACCAAACTCAATAACTTGTTCAGTTTCAAAGTATCTAATATCCAATTCGAAAATGGCTGGATCATTTTCGAATGTACCTTTATAATAATAATGGTTGCCTGTTGAATTTCTTTCTACCCATTTTATTGTTGAAAGTTTTAAAGCTTTAACATGGTTGTTTTCTATATCCAATTCACGAAGATGAGAAATTGAAACTGTAAAATTAATTTTAGTGCCTGGGAAAATAGTTGTGCCGTCTTCATCTACAAATGGTGGTGGTAAATTATTTTCACTTGAACTTGAATCCATGCTGCTACTTGAACTGTTTGGTTGAATATTTGAACAATCTTTACCTATGAATCCTTGGTGGCAAATACAATTACCGGTTTTCTTGTCACAATCGCCATTTGATGAGCAATTATTTAAACAATCATATAATAATGAATAGACGAAACCATTATTACTTCCAGATAATTTTGCTGAAATAACCTCAATGGTTAATGAATCATCTTTATTTGAAATTTCAACATCTGCACTGAAATAGCATTGAATCTTGGATTTATTTTCTACTTCTATTGGGTTTGTACACTCTTTTCCACCAATGAATACCTGAGTATATTTAATATTGAAATTACTTGCACCAATGGTTACATTACCACCTTCATTTTGATAAAGAGATGTTGAAAGACCTACAATTGGTGATTCATATGAAAGATTTGAGATTGTATTGGTTTCTAACGTTTGATCAGGTGATGTAGAGGATGCTGAAATACTATAATAACCATAACCAGATACCATATCACATGTAAAGGTATATAATTTACTTTCCTCATCAACACTAATTTCTTGGCAATTGTCTAATTTCTCTTTTGGTGAATCCTCTTCGGTGGTGAGTTGGTAAAAGAATTCAATTGAAATATCTTGACCATTAGCATCTTTGCTATTTAAATAATTACCAACAATGGTAATAACAGTTGGTCCATTCATAGGAATAATATTTGGTGAGACACTTGATAAACTTGGTCTGATATCTAATTGTAAAGTATTTGACTTTTGGTTACCAACTTCTACGTATACTTGGCCATTTTTAGATAATCCATCCAAATTGAAAATAATTTCATTGGTTTTTATTGACACCAATTCTTGTTTTTCTGAATTGAATGTTAAAGTTGTGACCTCGCTATCAGTAGTGAAATTGTTACCAGTTACGATAATTTTAGCCCCAATTTGTTCAACTGTTGATAACTCTGGTGGATAGAATGAATATCCTAATGTATTTGATTTTCTTGTGTCGACCTGAACCAATAATTCGTGATCTTTTCCATAACCTCCATTTATTGTTAATGCGATGACTTCAGAGGATACACGATTTACTTTATTTGATGCGAATGCAATACCATTTTCATTTAAAATTTGGATAGTATTTTGAATTTGGTTTGTTGTAGTTTCAAAGTATCTTCCGTTAATAGTGATTACTGAATCCTCTAAAGTATCTAATAAATCATTTGAAATTGATGTAATGTATGGGTTTAATACAACTGAAATAGGTGGATAAATGTCTGAGCCCTTTGTAATTGCTAAACTACCACTTGTTAATTGTAAAGGTAAGTTTGTACATACTAATTTTGAACCACTTCCGACACAGTTACTTGAGATATCAACTTGACCAATTTTAATTGCTAATTCAGATGCATTTGGTAAATCTTGACCATTAATATCAAGATCAACTCCATTTTGTACAGTTGATAAACCTGATGCGAAATAATATACTGAGAAAGCTGTTGATGGCAAACCTTTTACTGTTACAACCAAACCATAAGTTCCTGGGGTACCAACTGGTGCTGAACATGTAATTTTTTGATGATCAGTTACAATTACAACATTGGAGCATGTGTATGAACCAATTGAAATACTGATATCATCTTTATTTGAACCAAAATTTGTACCAGTAACTGTGACTAAACTACCTACATTTGGGATATTATTAGCTGAGGAAACAGTTGGGTTTTGGTATTGGTAATTGTAAGCTGTTGACTTTGCGGCAATGGTGAGCGAAACTGTTAATGAACCTGAACCTGGTACCAAGTCACATGTTAATTGGGAATATTGTTCAGAGTAAGCCAAATTTGAACAAGCAACACCACCAAAGTTGAGAATGGTATTGTCAAGGGTATTGGAGAAATATTTACCATCAATGGTAACCTTTCCACCAGTAGTTGGAACACGATTAATATTTGTAATTTCTGGGCCGCTATATTCGATGAATTGGGTTTTTGCTGGAGTTTGTAAATTATCGACAATAACATTGATTTCGTCTGGTCCACCAAAACCTGCTGGAACAATAACATCTAATTCACCATTAATATAATCTCTTTCGAATGGTAATTCTAAACCTCTATATAATACTTTGATAGTGCTAAAAACTGTACCATAATTATCGATTTTAAGGTCTACTTTACCACCAGCTGGACTAACCATATGTGTAATAACCTCTGGGAAAGTTGGTGCATAACCACCAAATTGTGTAAAAGTACTTGCACTTCCAGAAAAAGCCTGAATTGATAAATCGTTCATATTAATAATGAATCTACTATTTGCACTCCATGTATTTTGATCGCCGACAACATTAGTGTAATATAATGTAAGTGGCAAATCTTTTTTTGGGCCGGCCAAATAAAACCATCCTTTAGTTGCTGGATCATAACGAGCATTTTGCCATAACAACCATGGAGTATTGGTTGATGGAACTGGGAGCACCTTATTCATAAAGTCAAATAATTCTTTCGAATCAAAAACACCAATAGTGCCGATTTGGCCATCAATTCTTAATGAAGAACTATAATTATTCATTGATGTTATAAAAGTAGATGAACTTACAAAACCTGAATAATATAAGTTATTACTTGGGTAATCTTTAAATTAAAAAAAAAAAAAAATTAATTATTTGAAATTAAAAAATATTATGAGAATAATAATAACTTATACTTACAAACTGCAGCTTTATATGAAACAAATTTTGAACCTGAAACTAAAATTGTTATTGGTAAGAACTTATCTGTAAGATCAGCAGCCAAGGTACATGTAAAGGCCTCGTTTTCTTGAATTATTTTAACATTTTCGCAAGCAACTGGGGATGCATATCCCAAAGTTAGAGAGATTTTGCTGGCATCAATACCGAAATTAGCACCAGTAATAGTAGCAATACCTCCCTTATTAAAAGCTGGGAAGACTCCACCAACGTATGGTAATTCATAATGCCATAATTGATTTTGTTCTAATTTTTTTCCTTTACCATCACTAACCATAACATAATATTTTCCTTGGCCGGTACCGATAGTAGCATAAGCATGAGTACTGTTAATTTGCTCGATATTGATTGCTTGGAAATTTGAGGTGGTACCATCACGACCAGTAAAAGTAATGGATAAAGTAGGAATATCATATCCACCTAAATTTGATACAATAATAGTTGAGCCTGATGTTGGGGATGATGGAACAAATGGCTCTTCTAAACCACCATATTCACAAACTACATTATTTATGACAGCATTTATACCGTTATTGTTTAAATATGGGAAAGTTAAACTACCTTTTAAAATTAAGAATAAATAATAAAATATTAATAATAAATAAAAAAATATTAAATAATTTAAAATAAAAATATTAAAAATTTACCTGATGTATGAATCCAATGTTCACCTTCGATTAAATTTGGTTCAACACTTCCGAATAAACAAAAGGTATAACATTTATCGAAATAAAGATTATACCATGGTTGGAGTTCTTCAGGAGCTCCAATAGACCAATGCCAAACACCAGTCTTTGGTACATCTGAACCTGATATCCAGCTACCTGGCATATTAATACCATTGCTCCAAGCCCAGTTCCACTCTTCTTCACTTGTAAAGGTTGCTATATAACTGTTATAAATAAAAAATAGAAAAAAAAATAAAGAAATAAAAGTGTATTAATAAATATGAAAATAATTCAAAATAATATTAACACACACCCATGTGGCGCCAATTTAAAAACTCCTTACCCCTTTTTATTATTATAAGTTTGTTTGCTGCAATATTCTGTTGCTAAAATTGGATTTAATGTTTGATTTACTACTTGGTAATAATGACCATTTAGATCATTTTTATAATAGTTTAAAGGAATCGCTTTTTGGGAATTTATACAAAATATAAATGATACCAAAAATAAAAATACAAAATGATAATTCATTTTTGATTATTTATTATTTATTTATTATAATACAATGAAATTATTTAATTAAATTAATTAAAAAATTAGAGGAAAAAAAAAAAAAAAAAAAAGAAAGGAAAGAAATAAAATAAAATATTTTATGGAAAAAAAAAAAAATTAAATTTTAAAAAAAACAAATATTTGATTTGTTCAATCTAATAAATAATTTATTTTTATTATTTCTTTTTGTACACTACAAATGTATTACTTTAGTAACTTGAAGAAAATAAAAAAGAAAAAAAAAAAAAAAAAAAACAGTAGGTTTTTTTTTTCACACCCAAAAAAAAAAAAAAAAAAAATTAGAAAAATATGTTTTTATTCTGCTAACTATTTCATTGTTAAATATCCATCAAAAAAAAAATTTAAAATAATTATGATATTTTTAGGGATTTGTTTAATAAAAAACCATTCTTAACTCAAATTTGATAGATTCCACAGAAAAACATTAAAGAATCTTATGATGATCTTTTTTTTAAAAAAAATAATCTAGATTTTTTTAAAAAAATTTTTATGCAAATGTGTAATAACGGTATTGCGAAAAGTTTCTGGGTTTGCGAATGGACAATCAATCTGGAATAATCTATTAAAATTTGATTTTTAATATGATTATATTATTATTTGGTATTGTTGAAAAATCACTCAACTAAAATAACACTTGCACAAAAAAAAAAAAATTTAAAAAAAAAAAAGAATAATTTAATCTATTTTGGTATTAATGAGCATGTACATCCAAATTAATAATGATAATAAAAATAATAAATATACAAAATTAAAAATCATATATTATTTACTGTATTTTTTAAAAAAAAAATAAAAAATAAAAAATATTTTTTCAAAAAAAAAAAAAAAAAAAAAAATAAAAGACCAACGTCTGATTATTATTTTTACATGAGAATCATCCACAACTGTCCAAAAACTCTTTGTTTTCTAATATTTATATATTAATTGTTTTGAATAACAGATAATTATTTGATTTTTTTTTTTTTTTTTTATCGAAATTTTTAATAGGGTCTATGAGGAAGGAAACAAAAATTTAAACCAAAAAAAAAATAAAAAAAAATAAAAAATTTCAAATAATAAAAAGAAATAAATAACAAAATAAAATAAAAAATAAATATATAAATAAAATAAAATAAAATAAAATAAAATAAAATAAAATAAAATAAAATAAAATAAAATAAAATAAAATAAAATAAAATAAGAATAGATAAGAGTAAATAAAAATAAATAAAAATTTTAATGATAATCGTTCGGTTTATAAAAGTGTGGTTTGTTAAAAAATTAAATACATCATGTTTAAGACACACTATTTTTTAAATATATCTTTATCAATTTTTTATATTATATTATTTAAATTAATATTCATTATAAATAATTATTTTTATAATTTAAATTGGTGATTAAATTAAGTAATTGTTGATAAATTAAATGAAAATGTAAAAATTCGAACATCGAGTTTTTATACACACACACAAAAAAAAAAAAAAAAAAATTTTAATTTTTTAAAATTTTTTTTTTTTAAAAATTTTATTTTTTTTTCAATTTTTTTTTTTTATTTTTTTTTTTTTTTTAAAATTCATTTTTTTTTTTACTATCAATTTATATTTTATTTTTTAATTATATATTTACGGAAAAAATAAGAAAAAGAAATGTTTAGATCATTAGTTAAATCAAGCAATTTATTAAAAAACAGCATTTCAGTCAACAGCAGCAAAAGATTTTTCGCTACTGAAGCTTCAGATGATTTATTAACTTTTTCACTCTTATCACCACACCAAACCATCTACAAGGATAAGAAAGCTCAATTAGTTACTCTTCCAGGTGCTAAAGGTGTTTTTGGTATTGCTAAAAACCACGTCCCAAAAATCTCTGAACTCAAACCAGGTATTGTTCAAATTAATCACGAAAATGGTGATTTAGAAAAATTCTTTGTTAGTGGTGGTTTTGCATTCGTTAACCCAGATGCTTCATGTTATATCAATGTTATTGAAGCCGTTCCAGTCGATCAATTAGATCCAAATGAAGTTAAAAATGGTTTAGCTCGTTACACTCAACTCTTTAATGAAGCTCAAGACGAAAACGCTAAAGCTGTTGCTTTAGTTGGTTTAGAAGCTCATCAACAAATGGCTTACGCTTGTGGTGTCAGTGTTTAAATTAATATAAAATAATAATAATAATAATAATAATATAATATAAATAATTTTTTTAAATAATATTTAATCAATCTCAATAATAATAATAATAATACTATAAATGGAAAAATAATAATGTTTTCTTTTTTTTTTAAAATTTAATAATTTTAAAAAAAAAAAAAACTAAAAAAAAAATAAAAAAAATAATGAATCACCTTGTAATTAAATATCATTTTCTTTCGATTCAAAATCAAAATTAAAAATAATATTATTAGAATTTGGTATATAAAACAAATTATAAAAAAATAAAAAAAAATAATATAAAACAAATATTCGCTTTATTTTTTCATTTCATTTTATTATTTTTCGTTTGGTTTTTTTTTTTTGTTTTTTTTATCATTTTTTTTGTTTATTTATTTGTTTTAGATATAATCAATGTTTAAATTTAAACATTATTATTTTATTTTTTGTAGATCAAAATCAAAATCAAAATCAATGTCAAAATTTGGTTAATTTTAATTTAATTTAATTTCAGTTTTTTTTTTTTAATTTGTTTTGGTGCTGTGGTTGTAGTTTTTGTTTATTTTATTAATAAAGTTGTGTGTGCGTAAATAGTTTATATAGTTAAGCACAATGTGCTTCAACCCTCCAAAAAAAAAAAAAAAAAAATTAAAAAAATTAAAAAATTAATTTTTTTTTTTTTTTTTATTTTTTTTTTTAAATAATTTTAAAAAAATTTAATCTTTTTATTTTTTTTTTCTTTCTTATTTATTATTTACTTTAATAAATTCGATACATCAACATTTCTTATTTTAATACATTATATTATTTATATTGTATATTTGTAATATGATAGATTTAGTTTTTAAATAAATAAACAGAAATAAATTTAAATAATAATAATACAACTCAATCACCAAATTAATAAATAATAGTATAATAACTAATTATTATTAAATATATATATATAAAAAACAGCAATAGAATAAAACATAAAATATTTGATTTTGTTTTTTTTTTTTTTTTTTTTTTTAAATATTTTTGTAAATATAATATAATAAAATAATGGCAGATGAAGAAACTCCATCAGGTTCGATAGAGGATAGAATATCACATAAAAATTGGAAATGGAGGGTTCATGGTTTAGAGGAATTAACAAATAAATTCAAATTTGCAGAGGATTCAAGTGGTCCATTATATAATGAATGGGGACCTCAATTTAAAAAGATATTGGCAGATATTAATCCAATAGCCCAAGAGAAGTCACTTGAGACATTAAATACTTTTATAGATAGATGTGATTGTGTATCAAAGTAAGCATCAACAACAGCAACAATAGAAATATTTTAAAATATAAACAACATATTAACATTATCTATTAATAGATTTGCATCAGGTTTTGCACCAGTTTTGGTTGAAAAAGTTTTTGCAAGTAGTAGACCAAGAGCAAAGGATAAGGCAATTGAAACATTAATGGCTACAATGGAAGCGGACGCAGGTGAACCAGTAGTGGAGGCTTTATTGAAAGGTACAACAGCATCATCACCAAAGATTATTTTAGCATCGTTATTGGGTCTTACTACAGCATTGAAAACATTTGGTCCAAAGCAAGTACAGGTTAAATTAATTTTAAAACAATTTGCACCATGGTTTGAAAATAGAGATAAAAATATTAGAGATCAAGCTTCAGAGTTGTTTGTTGAAATTTATCGTTGGATTAATAAGGCATTGTTACCATTAATTAATGATACATTAACACCAATTCAATTAAAGGCACTTCAAGAGCAATTCGAAAAATTACCAAGTGAACCTGCTGTACCATTAAAATATACAAGATCCGAAGCTGCAAAGGCATTAGCAAATGCTAAAAGTGGAGTACAGCAAAGTAACTATCAAATTTATCATTTAAAAAGTTATAAGATGCAATTTATACTAATTTTTTAAAATTTTTTTTAAAATATATAGAAGCTGAAGTTGTTGAAGAGATTGATCCATATTCATTAATGTCAGCAGTTAATATTTTATCAAAGCTTGGGGCAGAGTTTTATGAAGGTTTACAAGCTAAAAAATGGCAAGAAAGATCAGAACAAATGGATAAATTAACAGCATTATTACAAAGTGCACCCAAAATTGAACCAGGTGATTATACAGAGTTATCCAAAGCATTGAAAAAGGTAATTGGTTTGTTTTATATATCTCCAAAACTTGTTGGTTAATCATATACTAATTAATTTTTTTTAAAATCTTTTAATATTTTAGATTTTAGCAGATGCAAATGTTATTATTATGACCAAATCAGTTGTTGCAATTGGTTTGTTAGCAGAGGGTTTAAGAAATGGCTTTTCAGCATATTCAAAACAATTTATAGCACCTTTATTGGATAGATTTAGAGAAAAAAAGGCATCAATTGTACTATCTATTCATACAACATTAGATAGTCTCACAAGTAAATGTATAAATTTTCCAGATATTATAGATGAGGTTACAGCATCAACTCAATCTAAAGTTGCACAGGTCAAACAAGAAACTTTAACTTATATTAGCAATACAATCACAAACACAAAAAAACCACAGGATATTGTTAAACTTTCAAAACAATTAGCAAAAATATTTATGGAGACTTTAAACGACACTAATGAATCTGTCAGAGATGCTTCATCAAAAGCATTTGCTGCATTGGGAGGTGTCATTGGTGAAAGAGGTATGACTCCATACTTGAACCAATTGGACCCAATTAAAGCAAAAAAAGTTAAAGATAATATGCCCGAGGTTAGTTCAGCTCCTGCTCCTATCGCACCAACTCCCACAGCACCATCAGTTTCAGATTTGGATTTACCAAGTGCCCCTGGTAGTAAAAAGGCAGCTCCTGGTAAAAGAGGATCAACTACCCCACAAAAAGAGGATGTTAAGAGTAAAGTTTCAGGAATTGTTTCACAAGACATTTTAGATGGTTTGGGTAAGGCAAATTGGAAAGATAGATTAGTTGCAGTTGAAAATCTTTTAGAAAAAGTTAAAGGAACCTCACCAGATGCATTGACTGGTTTATCAGAATCAATCATTTCCACTTTAGCAGATAAGCCAGGCTGGAAAGAAGGAACCTTCCAAGTTTTATTAAATGTTTTTTCAATTATTATTCAATTAACCAAATTGGATTCATCATTCAACCAAAAAGCTGCATCTTTATATTTAGCAGTCACAATTGAAAAGCTTTCTGATGTCAAGTTAAAGGATATTTCGACCGAGCTTTTATTTAGTACTGCAGAGGCAGTTTCACCACAAGTAGTATACACAGATATCTTCTCATACACCAGTAATCACAAAAACCCTAAAGTAATTAACGATGCATTAAATTGGATTCAACAAGCTCTCGATGAGTTTGGTATTCTTTCATGTGTTTCGGATCTTAAGGGAATGGTTACCTATGCCAAAGGTTGCTTAGAAAATTCAAATCCAGACGTTAAAAAGAGCGCAGTCAAGGTTTTATGTACTATTAGAGTTAATGTTGGTTCAGGTTTATCAGATTATTTAAGTGACTTAAAGAAATTGTTATTTGAATCAATGGAAAAAGAGTTTGCAAAGGTTGCTGATCAAAAACCACCAACCCCAACTCGTCAATGGAAAGGTATGCCACCACCAGATACTAAAATTAATATCGAATTACCAAGAACTGATATTAGTGCCAAAATTACACCAACCATCCTCGCAAACTTAAATGACAATAATTGGAAAACTCGTTCAGATGCATTGGACGAAATCGAAAAGATCATTTTGGAAGCCAACAGAAAGATTCAACCAAAAATTGGTCAGCTTCCACCAGCCTTAAAGAATAGATTACCAGATACCAATCAAAAAGTTCAAACTAGCACACTCAATATCATTACATTACTTTCACAATCTATGGGTGCACCATTTGAAAAGGCTGCTAAACTTTTGATTCCTCAAATCCTTTTACTTTTACAGGATTTAAAAAAACCAATCAGAGATGCCACTATCAGTTGTATGAATCAATTGTTAAATGATTTTGGTTTTGATATTTTCGTACCATTTGTTTCCACCCCAATGATTTTAGAATCTTCAAATTCTAGAAAAGAATCATTATCATGGACAGCTCAAAATATTGCAGGTAATTTAAGATCAGCTCCAGTTCAATCTGAAATGAATACTATTGCCAAAGGTATTGTTGCATGTCTTCAAGATAAAGCTGCAGATATACGTTCATTGGCCGATAATTTGCTTTCAATTGTTTGTACACTCATTCCTGCAGTTGAGTTTAAGAAAGAATTAAAACAAGTTAAACCTGCAAACCAACCAACTATTCAAAATGTTTTAGATAAATATTATCAAAAAAATGGTCAACCAATTCAACAACAAACACAACAACCACCAGCTCAGCAATCAAAGTCATCTTCACAATCGACAACACCAAAACAACAATCAACACCTTCATCACCACAACCACAACGTCATCAACAACCAATCCAGCAACCGACCCAACAACCAATTCAACAACAACAACAAGTTATTCAATCATCAAATCAAAATATTATTATTTATAATCCAAATGGTAAAATTGAAAGACAAGAAACAAATAATGATGTTGTTTGGTACTTTGAAGAGATTAATGACGAGGTTAATGAAATACTACAGGATCAAGTTTTACAATGCTTCACTCATGAGTTTGCAAATATGATGTTTTCAACATTACCATCAATTTCACAAAATGTAGCTGACCAGTTGACATTAGTAGCTGAACAAAATCCAGAAGTTATTGTTTCGGTTTTAGATATTTTATTTAGATGGATATCATTTAAACTTTTTGATACAAGTGTTAATAGTTTAAAGAGAATTTTAAGAGTTTTAGATTCAGTTTTAAACAAATTAATATCATTAGAATATAGTTTAAATGACTATGAAGCAACCTGTATTATTCCAATTCTTATTGAAAAGACCAGTTGTCCAAATGCCGAAGTTAAACAGACCATCAAACAATTAATACCACGTTTTGAAGAAATTTGTCCACCAAATATTTTAATTAAGACATTACTCGATATTATAACATCAAAAAATTGGAGAACTCGTGTTGAAATGTTTAATTTAATGGCATCAATTATTGACAAGCATGGTGCTTCAGTTTGTGGCGATCTTAGAGAGGTAGTTCCACTAATTGCCGAAAGTTTAAATGACTCCCAAGTTAAACATGCATCAATTCAATGTCTTTCAAAAATTTATTTACATATTAAAGATAGTCTCTTCAAGTGTTATAATTTTACTCAAACTGACAGGGCATTGATTATAAATACTAGTGGTAGTGGTAGTGGAAGTGGTCCAAGCACAAGTTCAAATCAACCAAGTAGCCAAACAAAATCCCAACGTCCATCATTGACTCAACAACAAACAGCCAGTGATCCAGTTTCAGCACAATTAATAGGATGTTTAGAGTTATTAAAGAATTACCACATGACAAAAGAAAATGGTGAACATATAGTCGAAGCATTAAAACAATTTTCGCTATTAATCGAAAATCAAACAATTTCAGAAAAGTTTATGAAGTTCTCCGAAGAGTATTTCTCTGTTTTAACAAGCATTCTTTCAGATATTTTCCCAAATTATAACAAAGAAACCGTATTCTTAAGAGCTTGTAAATATTTAACTCATACAATTATCTCAATTTATTCAAATCTTTCAATAGCAAAGCAATGTAATGTTAAATGTTTAGATATTGTTTTAAATGCAACTATAAGGTTATACAATCAAACTGAATCAAATCAACAATCTACAGCAGATTCAGAGTGGTTCTCAAAAGCTTTCAATCAAATTTTACTTCGTACTCTTCAAAATAGTAACAGCACAATTCTTTTCACAACATTACTTAGAATGATGACACGTTCCAAAAATGATGCCACCATTCCTCATCCAGAGAAATATAATGACTTTTTATTACGTTGTCTTTTAAGAGCTACAAAATCGCTAAAAACAAATGACTCAACTGTAAAAGAAGAATTGGATGTCGGTGTAGTTTTAAGTGAAATTAATAGCTTCCTTGAAGCAAATGCTTCGTTGGACGATACAACCAAAAAAACCACAAAGACTCTCACATCAGAATTATATCAAAGTAAAACCCAAAATGTTATCAGTTTTTCAAAAAATATTTTAGCAAAAGGTCAGCATCAAAAATATCAATATTTACTTGGACTCTTATCAGATTTATTAACTCCACATAAATTTGAAGAGTTAATTGGTGTAATACCAACAGCAAATAGTGGTGGCAATATTAGTAGTAGTAGAGATAGTTTTAATAGCATAAATATAACTAGTAACTTGGATATAAACTCACCAGTTTTAGCAGCAAATACATCCGCAACAACAACTTCAACCACAAAGCCAAGAACCTCTTCAACCTCCACTCCACCATTAAATATTACACCAACATTTAAGAGTGCAAATAGCGACGGTGCAACCCAACAACAACAACCAGTAAAGGCCCAATCAACACTTTCACAATTAAAAGTTAGTAAGGAACCAAGAAATTATTCAGGTAAAAGCGATCAACAAAAGAAAGAGTTGTTACAAGAAATCTTCAAAAAGATTGGTAATAAAGATTTAACATCGGATGGTATCTATGATCTTTATTATTTCCTCAAAGAGTATCCAGATTATGATATTACCCCAAATTTAAATTCAAGTTCTCAACAATTCCAAGCTTATATTCATAGAAATCTTAAAAAAGCCAAAGATGCAATTGAAGGTTCAAATAATGAAAATGAAGTTATAAATTATCATGAAAGATTAAAGATAATTCAAAACACTTTTTACAATCAACACAATCAAGCAAATAATACTATAGGTGGTAATTTAGATAATCATAACCCACAATTATCAAATACAGCATCAATGGCCTCAAACACATTAAATCGTTTAAGATCATTAAATTCTGATACTGCATCTTCAAATACCTCTCCATCTTATAGCTCACCTTCAACAACCTCATCAAGCGAAGTAAATACAACCATTGATTCATTAAAACAAAGATTGGCAAAATTAACACAAAAATCAAACGACTAATATAATATAAAAATATTATATTTATATAACTTAAAAAAAAAAAAAAAAAAAAAAAAATATTTTTTTTTTAATTAAAAAAAAAAACAAACAAAACTAAATAAAACATATATATTTTATAAAAAATTATCTTTTAAAAATCTAAATTTTATTTATTTTATTTAAAAAATTCTAAATCTGTTATTGTAATTGTTATAGTCTATTTTTGATATTTTAATTGATAAAACACTATTTTCAAAAGTGGTTTTTATATTTCTTAAATTTAAATATGGTAATAGTTTTGAAAGATCTAATGATTTCTTAAATGGACCAGAGTTTATTTGTGGTTTTTTAATTGGTTTTGGTGGGGTTTTAATTGTGATGTATTTAATTACAACTTTTCCTTTATCTTCTTCCTTATCTTCTTCATATTCTTCAATAGATGGTAATTCTATTTCTGGTTCTTCGACATTGTTTTCTTGATTTATTTCTTTCTTGCTTTCACCTTCTATAATTAATTTTGAATCTTTAATCTCTATTTGAATATCTTTTTTATCTACATTTGGTAAATTGGTTTCAATAATGATTGAATCATGAGTTTCTTTAATTGAAAATTCTGATTTTAAATTATTTTTATTATTGTGATTGTTATTATTGTTATTTGAGTTATTATTATTTTTTAAATTACTTTTATTACTATTGTCATTTTTTACATTGCTTTTATTACCATAGTTTTTTCTGTTGTCATTATTATATCTGTCATAATAATTATTATTATAATTATAATAATCATTATAATCATTATAATCATAATCATCATTGTTATGATAGTTTCCATATGAATACATATTTCTATATGGTTTTTCTACATATTGTTTTCTACTGTGGTTATTGTAATAATTATTTCTATTATCAAAAAATAAATCAAAAAGAGATGACATTTTTGTTTGTATATTGAGGCTTTATTATAATTGTATTTGAAAAATTTATTTTATTTAGTAATTTATTTATTTATTTAATATTTATTTATTTGTTTATTTATTAAAGTTGTTTGATTATATTCATTTTAAAAAAAATTTCGCTGTATTTATACTAAAACATAATGAATCAAAAAAAAAATAAAAATAAAAATTTCAAAAAATTTTGGGTGAAATTTTTATGAAAATTTAAGTGAAAATTTTTTTAATTACCAAAAAAAATTATTATAAATTTAAGTTGTTTTAAAATTTAATTTAAATTTTAAACTAAAAATAAAATAAAATTAAACAAAAAAAAAAATTAAATTATCTAAGATTATCTTTAAATATTTTTTTATTTACACATTAATTTAAAATTATATAATTTTTAATATAATGGAGTTTTAACGAAGCATTGGTAATGGTTCATAGAGTTTTTTTGGTCTGATCTTGGTTCCATCAGTTGATTCTTCAGTATCATTTTCTTTTGATTCTACAGTACTATTTTCTGGGACTGGTGTAGGGGTGGTATCAGTTTCTTTTGGAGCTTGAATGGTTTTGACATCATTAAATAATTTGAAACCAAAAACACTTGTTATTGAATTTACTGCCTTTGCTAAAAAGTTGGTAATATTTGTTAAAAATGACATTTTTTTATTATTTATATTTGTATTGTTTTTAAAGAAATGAAATGTATAAAAAAAAAAAAAAAAAAAAAAAAATATGTGAAGAAAAAAAAAAAATTGAAAGAAAAAAAAAAAAAAAATAAATGTAAAATAAATATAAAATAAATATAAAATAAATAAAAAAAGTAGAAAGTGTGGTGTGTTAATGTAGTTAAAATGGGGTTTTTTGATTGGTGATTGGTTTGTGTTTTTACAATATTGGGCAATCTTAGGTAATAGATTTTTTTTTTTTAAATTTTTTAAATTTTTTTTTTTATTTTTATCTTTATTACGCAGGCTTTTTTAGTTGGGTTGAGGTTTTTCTTGACCCTCTCACACATTTAAAAATATATATACACATAAAATTTTATTATTGGTTTTATAATTGAATTGATTTTTTGATTGATTCAAAAAGTGGGTTATGTAAATTTTTATTTGAACAAACAATACCAACATTATCTTCTAATTTGTAGCCTTTGGAATAATCTAATTGGTTACCTTTGAAATCAGTGACTACACCACCGGCTTCTTCGACAATAATATGACCAGCAGCATGATCCCAGATGCATTCTCTGTAGTCCATTTGAGTTAATCTGAGGTAGCAGTCACTGTCGCCTCTTGCAACCATAGCGTATTTACATTGACTATCAATTTTTAATGGTTCTTCGGTGACACCCATATCTTTTGAAATCTTTTGGTTTAATTCATGACCAAAACCTCTTGAAACAAAACTTTCAGTAAAAACTGCTTTAGTTGGATCTGATTTATCTGAAACACTGATTGATTGTTCAGTTTGAATATTAGAAAGTGGTTTCATAAATGATCCACTGCCTTTCATACCAACAAAAATACAACCTTTCTCTTCTGATCCTTTGGAGATTGGTAAACTTGGACAACCTAAAATACCTAAAATTGGTTTATTATCTTCCATTAAAGCTAATGCTACTGCATATTGATCTTTTCTTAAAAATCTTTTATAAAAATATTAATAATTTAATAATATAAAGTTTTTTAAATGAAAACTATACTAACCCTAATGTACCATCAATTGGATCTAATGTCCACCATCTATTTGTATTTGATATGGTTTTCTTTTTGTTACCCTTGTCTAAAATGCTGCCTAATTGTTTGCCATCGAATGATTCACCAGAGAAACGGTTAAAGAATGATAATACTTTATCCTCAACATCTTTTTCCGATGATAATGTTTTTGAATCTTCTTCAGCAATGAATGGATACTCTTCTTCTAAGTTTTTAATAATTTCATTGATAACCAATGCTTGGACAGTATAATCACCAACTGTAACTGGTGATTGATCTTTTTTGTTGATTGTATCTTGTGAAATTAATTGACTTTGAATTTCCAAGCATGCTCTACATGCTTTTTCAACTGCATTGATTGCTACACTACGAATTTTAATTAAGTTCATTATTATTTCTTGTGTTTAAAAAAAATAAAATTAAAAAAGAAAAATGAAAATAATTTAAAAAAAAAATTAAAAAGATTTTTTATTTTTTTATTTTTTTATTTTTTTTATTTTAATTTTATTTTTTATTTATTTTTATATAAAAATTATTATTTTGTGTATTCATATTCCATTTTGAAGTTTGTCAATAATTTATTAAATGAATAAATTTAAACATTGTTTAAAAGGAATTAAAAAATTTCTAATTATTAAATTTATTTTTAAAAATTTTTTTTTTTTTTTTAATTTTCAATTTTTTTTAATTTTTTTTTATTTTCATTTTTTTTTTCCATATTTACAAGAAATGCATATATAATAATTTGAGTACTTTTTTTTTTATTTTTATTTTTTTTCATTTTGATTAAACTATTTATTCAATATCAATAATAAGTCATTTGTATATAATATAAAATAAAACTATAATATAAAATAGCATATAAATAAATGGATAAAAAAAGATTATCAGTTGTTGATGAAGATGATAATCTAGACAGTTTAGAGTTAGATGAAGACTATAGCAATAAAAGAATAAAAACAACACACTCCAATAGTAGAGGTGCACCATCATTGGTATCAGCATCGGCATCGATAAATGCATCATCAAAAAATAAAGCGATATTATTAGAGTTAATTAGTGATTTTCTATCCAGAAATCAAAATTTTGCAAGATTTTTAAAAGAGAATAATGTTAGACTTGGTGATCCCATTATAATTCAAGATATTGGGAAATGTAGAAAAAAATTAAGTATATTTTTTAAAGATGATTCAGCTATTCAAATGTTCAAAGAGGGTTTTTCAGATTTCTTAAAGGAAGAAAAAATGTTAGAGTTGGCGTTATTACCAGTGGTTTCCGATGATTTTGACAATGAAAATAATGGTTTTCAATCATTCTTCCTCGAAAGTTTTATTAAATTATTTTTAAGCGTTCCAGTACTCCAGCCAGTAGTTATCGAAGTTTTATTTGATTTAATGCAAAATTATTTATCTGACGAGTAAGTAAAATTTTAATATTTTTAAATAAAAAATCTATGTATTAATAGTTTTTTTCTTTTTATTATTATTAAAAGCCCATATAATTTTATTAAAAAAATTTGTTCACAACTTAGATGGATGGATAGTATTACAAACTCTGATCAGTTTTCAAAGCATATAGAAGATTTATTACAAGCACTTTCAGGTAATTTGGAATTAAAGAAGGAAATTCTTGGGTTTCTACCAGATATCACCGATGATTTATGTCAAAAGAATTTGGTCGAGGAATTGGTAAATACATTTGACAACGAACCAACATTGGTATTACAAGTTATCGATGTTTTAAAAAACATGAACCTAAACACATCACAACTAAATGAGGTTAGATCAAAAATTTCAGACTCATTAGTTTCATCAGAAATGAATGATCTGCCATTAATGATTGATTTTTTATTACTAACAAATAACCCAAAAGAATCATCACAGGTAAATATATTTAAAAAAAAAATGGATAAAAAAAAAATTTTACTAATTTTTTTAAAAACTATAGACAGTTAAATCAATAAGAAATGGATTAAAATTTTCATCAAATAATAAAAATACATCAAATGATTTAATTGATTATGACAAGAAAAAAATTTTAAATGATTTAAATAAAAATAAACAAGCCGAGGTTTTAATAATGGAAGTAATTAGATCTGGTATTAGATTCAAAAAAGAGCTATGGACTGCATTCCTAAAAGAAATAGCAGGTATTAATAGTTCAAAAGAACATAAAATCATCGATATATGGCTATTGATTTTAATTAATTCAATTGGTCAAACAAAAGAAACAGAAATTTTATTCAAAAAGAAAATTTTAAGTGGCCACTTTACAAAACAATTACTATTAGACTCAATTATTACCCATGACTTTGCTTTAAAATCGTATGTGCATCTTTTATATATAACAATTGTATTTTATAAATTTTATATTAACTTTTCTTTTTATTTTATCAGCTACCATTCCCAAATGTTATCATTTTGCAACTGTTTTTTAAGGTCACACGAGCCCAGAGTTAGATTGTTTGGATCACTATTTTATCAATATTTATATGGTAGTTTTAATGAAATTTCATTAAGACAGGATTTAATAGAATTGTTATTGTCGCATGTATGCTCAAACAATATCACAGAGGTCAATACTGGTTTAGACGTTCTATTAGTGCTATGCAAATATCATTTAGAATCACTCAAATATTTTACAACATTTATTAAATCAATATTAGACCACATCAATTTCTTAAACGAAAATCAAATTAGAAAGCTTTTCAAGATTTATGGATATTTATTGTATGATATGAAAGTTACCAACACAAGCTACTCTTTGGCACCCAATGGTTCAATTTATAATGAATTGGATATTTTTACAAGAAAGCAAATCACAAACCCATTTATCAAATACAAAAAAATTGGTATTATTTCACTTTGCTCACAATTGTCAAGATTAGCTAGAATCGTTTACAAGGATAACAATCCCACAGAGTATTTAGATTTACCACAAGATTTGGAAAGAGAGTGCTCTGAAATTTTAAACAACCTCTACAACAACTGCAATAGCTCACAATTAGCATTAGCATATTTATATGATGAATTAGTAAATAACTATCTGGATGAAAATTTTCATTTAACCATTGTCACCGTCATCAGCGAAAAGTTTATTACCGATTTCCAAAGACGTTTTGTTGAAAGTATATCCGGTGATACCACATGGTGTGCTCCAATAGGCCACGAGTCTGAATATGATTCGATTGTAATTTACCCAAGCTTAAAAGATATGGAAACCAAAGATAAATTGCTTTGTCTCTCACCACACTTTCGTTTATTGCAAACATTGGAAAGAGCTAAATCCGTAGGTTCACTCGAAGAAATTGATAATCTTTTAGTAATTCCATTCAAAATGTTTAATAAGGATGCACTAAAAGAATCGAAATTATCAGATGACAAAGATAAAGAATTTTATAGTTTATCATTGTTTTATTTAATTAATTTTATTAAAGAATTATTAAATGCATTTTCGACTCAATTAAATCAACAACCAAGAAGAATTGGCGATAGCTCTCAAAATATATTCAATTTTGCAGGTGGTAATAATAGTCGTCAACAAACAAATATCCTTGAAATCAAACTAAAGCTATTAACAAGATTAAAAGATTTAATTGAAATGGAAGATTATTTTGAATTGGTACTTTCGTGCAGCCCATCTTTTTCAATTCCATATGGCACTTTCGATTTTGATCAAAGAAAAAGTTTTACAATCGATTTTAAAAAAACCAAAAGACCAACACCAGTCTATTCACTTTATCCAATCGATACCAAAGATTTTAAGCTACCAACCGAAACATATATTGAATTAGAAAAGCCATTTATCAAACTCATCAAGCCTCATTTTAGACTTTTAGATCTTTCAGTGTTTTTAATTCTTCAACAAACCCCACAAACTGGTGCAAATTCCAATTTAGAAGGTTCATCGTTGCTCTATCTCTTAGAAGACTTTTATAATAAACTTATGGTTTTAACAACTCAAGAGAAAACTGGTCCACTAGCCACAATGCAACCAAAATCAACATTACCATATAGCTTTACTGATTTTATAAAGAATTGTCAATTTGTATTTCCAAATCTATGTTCATATTTAGATATAAATGTTAAAAATTTTGTAAAAAATAGGGTTCAATTATTAAAAGAATTAAAAAAATCTAAAGAATTGTATCAGGAACTAATCAACAACCAGGATAAAGACGATGAAGAAGAGGATGATGGCAATGAAGATGTTAACAACGAAGAGTTAAAAAAGAAAATTAAAAATCAATGTAAAATTATTTTAAAGTTAAATGAAGAACAAATTATATTACAACATTGCATCCAGCTCTTATTAAAGTGTTTTGAAAGATTATTCCAGAGTGGTGACTTGGCTAGTGCCGAAACAAACAATAACTCATTTTACACAGTTATGCGATTAATTTACGAAAAGGTTAAAAGCTCGTTTGCCTCTGATCAAAATACCATCGATACAAGCAGCCAAACAGTAGGTTCACTCCAAATTATGTCATTAAGAATCTTTTCATATTTTGAAAGATTAATCAAACCTCTTGTCGCAAGTAAAAGTTTTAAAGCAACACTATCACTATTAGAGGTTTTAGTATCCCTTTCTTCAAACTCATGGTGTCCAGGCAATCGTGAAAATGACGAATTAAATAACAAAATCTTTAGATTCTCTTATATATTACTTTCAACTCCATGGACCCAAGGTGAAAAACAAAAAGTCTCAACAACCAATCTTAGCTTTATTTTAAATACTTTTCTAAACTATTGCAAATCACCAAGACATTCCTTAAAAATTTCAATTCTATTTTTGTACACCTATTTAAGAGACAATAAAAATAAATCTGGTGGTGAAAAGAATGTAGTTACTATAAAGGGTTCATCAAAAAGATCAACAAAGAAAAAGAATAGTGACCACGAAAGCGATAATGACGAAGAAAACAGTGGTAATGAACAACAGCAGGGTTCAGATCGCAAGGAAATGGATGAGGATGAAGAATTAGAAGAATTGAAAGGTAATAAATATGAAGATTTTATGCAAAGTGAAGAGGATATTACCGAAATTGACTCAACATTAATAAACCCAATGAATTGTTTAGTATTTCTCAAAACTATTTTTGGTAGTCTTAATAATCTCTTTTCAAATTTCGTTAATCAATACAGAGATAAAGATCCTTCAATCTCATCTGTTCTCTCAGAAAATAATCAATGTGTATCATATTTTGGTAGACTAGTAGAAACCTATCTTTTTAGAGATAAATCACTTTATTTATCTGAAATATTAAAACAAGGTGTAGCTTTTGTAAATGTTTATTCTAAGTTTTTAGGTATTCTTAAAACGATACTCAAAAAAAACGAAAGTGCTGTCTCTGATTTCCTAACCATTTTTGACAAACTACAAACTGGCACAAGAATTCTTCATAACATTTGTGACCACGGAAAAAAATCAAAAGACTCTTTAATTACAGCTTTTGTTCCACAAGCAAAGAGAACTCTAGAAACTTTAAATATGGATATCAAAGTATTATTATCATCTATGAATGCATTAAATGCTTTTAGTACCAAAAAAATTAATAGAACAAATCTTAATGGAAAAGAAATTTCATCATCACAAGAAAGCGAACAAGAAGAAGAGGAAGAGGAAGAAGAGGTAGAAAGTGAAGGAGAATCAATAAGTGAACAAGAGGATGAAGATGAACAAGAGGATGAGGATGAAAATAAAAATAAAAGTAAAAAAAGAAGTATCAATATTAGCAAAAAGAAAAATATTAAAACAGTAGATTCTGATAGTGAGAAGAAATCTAAATCGAAATCGAAATCAAAACAAAAATCGAATGGAACAAATAATAAAAGATTAAGAAAACTTAAAGACATTTCAGATAATAGTGATGAAGAAATGGATAAAGAAAGTGATAGTGATAGTAAATCAAGAAGTGTTTCCCGTGGTAGAAGTCGTAGCCGTAGTCGTAGTCGTAGCAGTGTTAACCATCAAAGACTTAAAAAATCAAAAGATATTAGTCCTAGTCCTAGTCGTAGTCCTAGTCGTAGCAATAGCAGTATTAGCAATAATGATGACCAAAGTCCAATTGCAAGCGAAGCTGAAGAAGGTGATGAATCTGAGCACAGTAGCTCCGAACCTGAAGGGATCGATATTGATTCAGACCACAGCTCAGATGATCGTAAAAATATCTCAAGTAACAACGAAGATGAAGAAGAGGAAGAAGATATTTTGAGTGACTAACCAAATTAAAATATTCAAAAATTCAAAATTCCCAATCCAAAAAAAAAAAAAAAAAAAAAAAAAAAAAAAAAATTTTTTGTATATAAAAATAAATTCACGATAAGTTATCGGCAACCACAATCATAGTTCAAATTTTTTTATTAAAATTAAACACAATTTAATTTTATGTTTTTTCTTATGAAGTTCTTTGTTTTATTATATTTTTTTTTTTTTTTTTTTTCAATTTTTTTTTTTTTTAAATTATTTTTAATTTTTTGAAAATTATTTTTTTTTAATTTTTTTTTAATTTTTTTTTTAAAATTTTTTTATTTATTATTTTTTTTTTCTTATCTTTTTTAATAAATTAATCTCTTCCTTTTATAAACATATCTTTTTTTTTTCATTATCTTTTTTTTTTTCAAACACAATTCAATTTGGTTTTTTTTTTTAAAATTGGATTGTCAATATTAATAAACAATAAAAATATTATTACCGAGTAATAATAATTCATTATAAAGAAAAAAAAGAAAAAAAAAGGTATAACAACAATGTCAGATGAGAATTATTTTGAAGATTTTGACTCTGCACCAATTGGTGAAGAAGAACCCAATTATGACGATGATGAAACTTTTGGTGATGTTGGTCCATTAAGTAAGTTCAAAACAAGTTAATAATAGTTAATAATAGTCAATAACAGTTAATAATAGCCAATAAATAGTTAATAGTTACAGAGTATAAAATATCAATAATACTAATTAAATTGATAAAATAATAATAAAATATTCAACTTGACATTTATTTTAGATGATGAATGGGAAAATCAACACAATTTATTATCAGAAGAACATGAAGCATTTTTAAGCCAAAACAAATTAAGAGAACCAGAATTAAATGGTAAAGATAAAGAAGATGAAAACGAGGAGGACGATTATGATTATTCACAATCTGGATTTACAAATGGTGGTGGAAGAAATGTTAGCCACTTTACTCAATCTTCAACTACAACCACAACAACCACAACCACAACCACAAGAACAGCAGTTCCATTACAGCCACAACCACACCTAAATGAAGACTCACATGTATTTATTAAGAGAAAACAAAAAAGAATAATTATTTTTATATTAACAATGTTTTTTTTTTATTATTCCAAAATTTTATAGTTAGATGAAGATCAAATCGAATCAGTATTTAAAAACGCATTGGATGACGATCACCAACCATACACCTCACCACATTTACAAAACAACAACAACAATTTAAATAATAAAATGGTTGAATTAATGGGTGCTGTTTCAATTAATGATACCCCAACCACACCACAAGCACCACCACAATCAACAGCAGCAGTAGCTTCATCATCAACTAAAGGAATGTCATTATCAGATATCGAAGCCAAATTATTTGAACAATCTAGTGAGTCCTCAACCGCCACCACATCAACAACCTCTACTACCACAACCACCAACACTACCAATATAACATTAACTCCAACCAAACAACCATCACAACAAAAATCAATCTCTTCACCAAAAAACAATAATGTACAAAATAACAGATATACTAGACCATTAACTCTTGGTGATATGATCAATAAACCTTCTTCTCCACAGCAACACTCCCCAAGAAAATATAAACACCAAAAGAACTCTGGTGATAAGAAATATATGACAGCTGAAGAAATTCAATCTATTAATAGATTACAAGCCTACCAAATTCATTTTACAAATCCATTTATTGAAGACTATTATTATCAAAGATTCAGAATGAGTAAATATTAACTACTTATATTTATTAATATAAAGCTAAATACTAATTAATTATTTTATTTACCAAAATAGAACAATCAGGTCCAACTCACAGCCACACTCCTATCTGTGATTCTACCCCAAAAACTGCACCATCACCTAAAAAGACCGATCCATTAACCGGTGCACTTGGTAGAATTCCATCACATTCAATTAGAGCACCAAGACAAATTTTACAAGTTATTTTAAATAGTGATGAAGAAGACCAAGAAAAAGTAAAATATTATTTATAATAATGCATAATAATACATTAAAATAATACTAATTTTATTTATTTTTTTTTTATTTACAGAATCAAAATAGTGATCCAACTATTAAACTTATTATTGAATCAGCATATAATCATATTTTAGATTTAGAAGATATTAATGAATTAATTAAAAATACAAATAATGATTCAATACTTTTACAAGAATATCAAATTAAACAAGAACCAGTTTCCAGAGAATTATTTAAATCATTATATTTAGACCCATTCCCAAGCTTTAAATTTGAATCACCAACAGCACCTGCACAAGAACCAAACCAAAAATGGCCATCAGTATGCCACGAAGATTTATTATTTGTTTCATTATGGGTATTTGCAAAAGGTAGAAAATTATTAAAGAGAGCATTCCCACTCTTGGGCGAGAAACAATCTTTATCAGGTCTTTTTGCAGTTTGTAGAAATCTTCCATTACTCTTAATGTTACATCTCCCAGAAGGATCAGAAGAATCAACCGAAGCAATTTATCAAATCGTTTGTAAATGGGTTATGGAGGTACCAATTAAATTCTTTATTTTAGGTTTCCACTTTTTAGTAAACTTTAACCAAAGTAAATTCATCATTAAACTTTTCCAATCTAAAGAAGGTCAATCAGTAATTCGTACATTCTTATATAGAGGTTACTTGATTTATGATCAAATGTATTTAGCTCAACATCATTTAACTCTTGATCCATTAGACCGTGAACAATGGCGTGATGTTTTCGATCGTTTCTTCCAACGTTTAAATGGATCTTTCCAAACCATTTTCCCATTAAATCAACAACCATCAATGCTTCTCTCTCAAATTTTCCAATTATTATTAGGTCATTGTAACGATCAACAATCTCCACAATTCCATATGGAATTAGGTTTACCACAAAATATGGGTCATCCACAACATCCACCACCATTATCACCATCACAACAACACTCATCACCACAAATGAACCAAATGAACCAAATGAATCAAATGAATCAAATGAATATGAACCAAATGAATATGAATATGAATATGAATCAAATGAATATGAACCAAATGAACCAAATGAACCAACAATTTTATAACCGTTAAAAAAAAAAAAAAATTTTAAAAAAAAAAACAAAAAACTCAAATTAAATATATCAAATTAAAAAATAAATAATAAATAATAAACAAACAAATAATAATAATAATCAAAAGGTATATTTAATATTTAAAAATAAAAAAATAAAAAAAAAAGAAAATAAAAATATGAAAAAAAAAAAGAAAATAAAATTAAAAAATTAAAAAAAATTAAAAAAAATAAAATTTATATATATAAATATATATATTGTAATTTATAAAAAAGTAAATCAAGATTTATTTTATCAATAATTTAATTTATATAATTTGGTACTCTTTTTTTTTATTTTTATTTTTTTTTTTTTTTTAAAAATTTTTTTAAAATTTTTTTTTTTTTTTTAAAATTTAATTTATTTATTAATCTCATAGCAACAGCTAAAATCCATCTATTTTTATTTATTTAATTTTAAATTATGGAAAATGACAATAATAATATCTTAAAACAAATGAATAATGAATTAAAAAATATGTCATTAAATAATAGTTATAATAAACAACAACAGCAATATGCAATAACTCCTATACATCAACAACAACAACATCAACATCAACAACAACAACAACAAAATTATATAAATGTACTAAATAAAAAAGAAGAAATTATAATGGATAAATTAAATAATATTAATACATTATTTGATATCGAAAAAGATACTTTTAGAAACCTAATAGGATTAATAAATAACAGTTTTAAAAAATATAAATTTAATGAAAATCAAAATGATATTATAACATTTTTAAAGTTACAACAGAAAAAGATTCAACATAATTTTCATCAGTTACAATTAATCATTATAAATAATCATAACAACATAAAGAAATATATAAATATCAATGATATCAATAATATAAAAATCTTAAATTTTCCAACACCAAATGATAGTATTAATAATACCAAAGAGCAACAAAAAGAAAATTTGGAAAGATCAATATCAAATCTTAATGATTGGTGCAAATATTCAAATCAACTCTACGAAATTGAAAAATCAAATAACCAAGTTTTAAAATGTTTAATTTATCCAAATAAAGAAATGGACTTTGAAAAAATTATAAAAAAACTAAATGCTCAAATCATTGAAATTAAAGGTGTAGAGGGTTATTTATCATCTTTAGAAATTATTGATGACAGAGATACTTTAACTTTTTATTATACAAATTTAATTGAAGAGTATAATAGAAAAGAATGGTTATTGGAGCAACAAAAATTAGAGGAGCAAAAAAGACAACAACAACCACAGGATCAGCAAAATAATAATCTATTTTTAGATGAAGATATTACAAACTTATATTTTGGTAGTACTTTAAATGAAGAAGATTATATTTATGATCAAGAACATC